GCAGCCTGTGCCTTAGCTGTTAATACCTTCTTCTTCTCTCACTTAACACGCTTATCCTCCTTTGCCTTTGCTTAAATAATCTTCTTCTAGTGTTAAAGCTCCTTCTTAGTAGCTTTTGCTGCCTCTGCAGCGCGCTTAAGGTCCTCTTTTGCCTAAAGTTCTTGCTTTGCGTGCTTAATGCGTGAAGGACTCTACAAGAATACACTACTACTATTATTACTGTTAACAGGTTGCAAAGGTAGTACCTTTTACTTCCTCTTCTTCTTCTTGTTTATACTTAGAGCCTCTTCTAGGCCTGTAACTCTGTGTTGAACAACCTCTAATTGCACGTGGAGTTGGTGAAGCGCTTGATCAAGTGCCTCATCAGCACTAGACTTAACGTAGTTCACAAGCGAGCGGTCCATCCCAACCATGATAGCCTAATAACTACTTTGCATTACAATGCTATCCCATCATAATATGCAATTAACCTATACTAAATGGACCTTATAGCTTACTATCTAAGCTATAATTAAAGATTATAATAAGAGTAAAAGACGTGCTATTGCAGCCTTTAGCGTACCTTAAACTACTATCTACTAATAACGCTAAGGAGCCCTCTCTTAACGCAATCGCGAGCCTAATTTAAAGAAGCTGAGTAAACTAGAGGAGGAGGCCCTTGTACAACATATACTTGAGCTTAACACAAGAGGAATACCTGCTACAAAGGCTATAGTGCGAGATATAGCTAATAATCTGCTTGCTGAGCGCGGTGGAGAGCCTGTTGGCAAGCACTAGGTAGACAACTTCAAGACGCGTACGCCTGAGATCAAGCTTCGAAGGAGCTGTCTATATGATCGCCAGCGAGCCCTTAACAAAGATGCACGTGTTATAACACCCTAAGTTAAGCTAGTTACTAACACAAAGGCTAAGTACAGCATTACAGACAAAGACATGTACAACTTTAACAAGACAGGCTTTATAATAGGGGTTATCTATAGCTAGATAGTCTTTATAGGCTCTAAGAAGCGTAGCACAAAGAGCCTACAGCTAGGGAACTGTAGTTAGGTTACTAATATACAAGGAGTTAATGCTAAAGGATAGGCTATCCTACCCTTCCTTATCTTCCCTAGCAAGGTCCTTATTACCTTATAGTTTCACAATCTACCTTAGGATTAGGTAATTAAGGTTAGTCCTAATAGCTAGATGTTAAATAAGCTTAGTATTGCCTAGCTAAAGCACTTTAATACCTATATAAAAGACTAGAAGGTAGGTGCACATAGGCTGCTAATTGTGGACAGCTATAAGAGCCACAGCTTACATAAGTTCTACAAACACTGTAAGGAAGAGAAGATTATTATTCTCTGTATGCCTGCTTACTTATTGCACCTGCTGCAGCCACTTAATATAGGTTGCTTTTCACCTTTAAAGTGGGCATATAGTAATAAGATTAGTAGCTTAGCACAGTACAGCTCTAAGCAGATTAAGAAGGAGGCTTTCCTACCAGCCTTTAAAGCAGCTTTTAAGAGGTTAATTATAAAGGAGAACATCTGTGTAGGCTTTAGGGGCGCTAGACTAGTTCCACACAACCTAGAGGTGGTGATATTAAAGCTTAATGTAGTCCTTTGTACGCTAACTCTACTAAAGCTAGAGGACACCCTATTAGGCTGGCGGATGGGTAGGGTAGGGTAGGGTATAGGTATAGTCACGTGATTTATGGGTAGGAACTAGGTAGGGTACATGAGGTACCCTACCCAAACGGTTTGGGTAGGGTAGCACGTGACTGGGGATAGGTATAGGTAGGGTAGCACGTGAC